GCTGCAGCCCTGGATCCCACAGCCTGCGTTCTGAGCCCTGCTTTTGCCCTAGATTTGCTGTGTGACAGTGAGCAAACCGTGCTTTCTCCCAAGCATCTGTTTTCTCAGCTGTGAAACGGGAGAATGGCATAAGCTGATTATATGGCCCTTTGAGGCGGGTAAGTGTGCTGGCTACTGTGGACAAAGGGGAAAACAGCGTTACAGAGAAGTTGGATAACCAGGGGTTTTGAAACGTTCTGGTTAAGATATTTTCTAATCCTGTTTATTTTCCTCAGAGAAGCACGGAGGTGCCTTAGCACAGCCCAGAGAGGAGGAGCTGCTTTGAAGGGTTACGTGCCACCACCTCGGCACACAAAATAACCCGTGCTGTGCTTTTTGGAGGGCTGCGGGAGGATGTTAACCTGTGCCGAGTGTGGAGCTGGATGTGGCTGGGACCAGCTTTGCTGGTAGCTGGGATTTTTGGTGACTGCCATCTTTTCACAGACATTTCAGCTTAAATGTGGCTTTCAGGAGTAATTTTCTGGCAGTTTTGGTTCTGAGGAAAAACACCAACGTGACAAACGCTTGCCCTGAGCAGTGTGAAGTGGTGACTCATATTTCTCAGGCACCAACACGCAGAGGGGCACCTGGCCCTACAGAGTTTGTATTTGAGACTGCAAAGCGAAGCAGCTGAGCTGCTGCCCTCAGACCGCTCCTCTGCCGCTGCCTGCTGCATCTTCAGTGCCCCGCTGCCAAGTAATGCCTGTGTTTAGGGGTAACGTGGCGTAGACAAGGAGCTCCTCTGTCACAAGGGTGAATTTGCCAGCTTGGATCTGGGTTTCAGCGTTTGTTTTGAACCTCGCTGTTAAACAGCCGGATGCAGAGCTTTCTCGTTAATGTTCATTTAATCCTTCCTTAAGCATGATTCACATTGTCCTAATCCCGAGCTACTGCCCCGCAAAGCATGAAAGCTGTGAAAGGAACTTTGCATTAATTGTTCCCTCACTTTCTCTGTGTGACTTCTGTTTCCTCTGCAGAGCTGTTGTTTGCAGCTTGATCTCATACCCGTCGCAGCCAGTATTAAAAATCCCATTGACTTAACTGGGTGTTGCCAGCCTTAACTGTATTTTCCACAGAAATTGCTGTTGCCAGCCTGCATTCGATGTTGTTCACTTAGTAAAGGAAATGGTGTGTAATAAATAAGAAAAGATGCGTGCTTTAGGGAACCTTGGCCACTGGGGTCCTACGTTGCTCTCACTGCTTGATTGCATGGAGTTGGGCAACAGTTGGGATTTTTAGGGGGAAACCTGGTATAAAGCTAAGATTAATAGTTCTTCAGACTCAGAAACTTGCCTTTACGTTTGCCTGTGGAGTAGCTAGAACGTACCAGGGACAGCGTTAAGAAAAACAGAACCATGTAACTCTGTGACAGTGCCTGCATTTCTCAGTGTGTTTAGGCTTCTTGTTTAAAATAAGGATAATTGGGATCCTCTGTCTCAGAAGAGCAGTGAGTATCCACACAGTAACAAGTGCTGGTTCTTGTTTTACCAGCAGTTGCTCACGAAGAGAAGGATTGAGAAGTTGATGCTGTGTTGTGCGGAGTTCCTGGATGAATGATGATGTACAGCATTTCAACGTGCTTTTCCCCAACATTTCCCCCCTCCTCTTTGCTAACTCTGCTCTTAAAGCTGTGAGGCTGCTCAATCTGGTTGCTTTTGGATTTGCAGGAAAATTAATTGTGTGTGACTTAAGAGCTCTGCCTACTCTTAATTGAAGGCATGGAGGACTGAAGCTTTGAAGAAAGCATAATTTTTCCCTAAATGTTTCCCAGTCATTTGAACTGATGTTAATGAAAACCAGCATTAACACAACCCCCCCAGTGAAAAGTCAGCTGAATAAAGCCCGTTCCTGTCACATATTACTCGGCGTTATCCAGTGCCCTTTTAAACAGGCAGTGCCTAGCCCCAGTGGTAGAGAAGTGTTTAAGCTCTGAATTACGTTGGGTACGTTTTCAGCGTTCTCTTTCTAACTTTCAGATGCCAAAAGAAAGCGCAGCACAGACAGCTACTCGTCAGATTCGTGGTTAGACATGGATGAAGAGTCTTGTGATGCCCATCTCCAGGAGGAGAAGGATGGCGGCGTGGACAAGAGCCCCAGAGCCTTGGGGGACGGCTCCTCCTCCCCCAACAGCACCCACTCGGAGGGGAAGGAGGGCGCAGGAAGAAAGCAGAAAGCCACGATAATGAGGTACCTAAAAAGAACTTTGTCTAATGAGTCAGATGACAGCATCAAATCAACGACCCCCACGGACTATCCCAAAACACCAACGGGGTCTCCAGCCACAGAAGTTTCAACCAAATGGACTCACCTCACGGAGTTTGAACTGAAGGGTTTGAAGGCCCTGGTGGAAAAGCTTGAGTCTCTCCCAGAGAACAAGAAGTGTGTTCCCGAAGGCATTGAAGACCCGCAGGCTCTGCTGGAGGACATGAAGGTGGGTGTGATACCTTGCTGCTCCACACACGTGCGTTCAGCTCGTGTGCAGTGCCCGGCTCCTGACGGCCCGCGGTGCCGCAGGGAGGGAAGCTGTGCCTCTCTGCTCTGGGGAGGGGGCTGTTTGCAGCCTGATTGAGCTGATGCAGCCCTTTCTGTGCCTAGTTTAGATCCTCTCATGGTTCAGCACTTGTTATGACTCGTGTAAATATTATACCTGAAAATGTCTGTTTATATTTATAGTCCTAATATGCCCTTTTTGGTCTAGTGTCTTGCTGGAGAGTACCTGATTAACCAACACACACAAAACGTGAATGCTTGGTTGTCAGTCAGACTGTGCATTGTCTGACGTTTTCAGTTGCGTTTCTTTCTTTCACCTTTTTCATTTTCTTTTCCTCCATTGCCCTCTATAGGTTGATAATTACTCTCCACTGGTACAATGTACTGTTTTGGAGGTGGTGTGAGGAGTGAGTGCTCACTAGGAGCAGAACTTCTCTTTAGGTTTTAGGGTACTGGAATTGGTGCCTCATCTGACTTAGGGATCAATTCCTCCTGAAGACCAGCGTGGCCTCGCTACTTCGAGTCCCAGCCCTGCCTCTCATCCTTTGAACTGCTTGATCAGCTCCTCTGTGCCTTGTTTTCACGTTGTATAAAATAGGCATACTAACTTTTTTGGCAAAGCTGAAAGCAGTATACTCGTGTCATTTTGCTGGGACTTGCTAAATAAGGCTGAAATTGCCAGTGTGTCCTCCACAAGTTGAGGACCATGGCAGTTTGTCCTGAATTCCAGCTGTTATTGATCTGTGGTCTTGTGTTTGGACTGTTAGGTTTGTGCTGTTTCTGTGTACGATATGGTTCTTCAGCTACATCTTATATATGTATAGACCAGTGCTGTGTAAGCCACAATGTGAGGGGAAAAATACCTGTTTATGTGATAAAGGAGAGCCTGTACTTTCTTAGTGTGAGTAGTGTTAACAGCTGCTTAGGAAAGGCTTCAGAGCCAGTTGAAGAAGGCTGAACCATGAGCAGTGTGCAGTGGAGCCGTATTCCAGTCCTGGAGCCTGGAAGTGCGATACGCGGCACTCATCGTGGTAAACCACAAGAGCTCTGAAAGTCTCTTCTTGCAAAACGAACCACTGTGTGTGAAAGTGGATGTGAATGGCCAAAGTTACAGCTGTAGATCCAGTGACTTGCTTTGTGGTCAGTCGTCTTCTCATCAGGAACCAAAATGAAGCATCGAGACCAGGAGCTGAATTTGTGGTGAAGGAGAAAGGGTTGTAGTGTTGCTTTAGGAAGCCTGATGCACAGGCTGATTTTCACTTAAAGATAAACTGCCCCTTCTTGAAATCCCAGAAAGGGGTATAGCATGTAATAGTGCAGATGTTCAGAACATGGCCGTGCGTGCTGTTTTGATCACATACTCCAGTGCACCATGAGGCATCTGACCAGGACACGTCAAGATGCCATATGTGAGTCTGGTTAGAGCACCGTGTAGGAGTGTGTGCTTTCTTAACCTCCCCAGCACTGGATTCACTGGCTGCAGAGATGGAGAACTGCAAACGAACACCTCAGGAAAAGGCCCAGGTCGTGCCCTTTCTGGTGGTACTGTGCTGTAACTGGTATTAAGTGAGGATCTGCTGCTTTACTTTGTGCATCTTGCAGAGTTGCAGTCTCAATGCTCCAGCTCCTTTGATAACTGCCTGCTTCTGAACCTCCTGCCCTTGCCAGCACACACTGCAGCCATCAGGATGTAGCCCAGCATCTGGATATTTACGGTTCCCTGCTGGTTGAGGAGCCCATGGCCACAGCTCAGCACCGTGCACGCTGCAGAGCTGTTTTCTCTGCAGTCACCGCTGTGTTTGACGAGCCTGGGCCTGACGAGTCAGAGGGAGACCTTTTAAAAGGATGTGGACTCAAATATTTTCTTGACCAGTGCCTAAAGAACTGCTGAAGACCCTTCTTACCCATCTTTTTTACGATATTGCTCCACATGTAAAGCAGTCCTCAGGTTTCAGCTGAAGGCGGTGGTAGCAATGTTCCCTTGGCAATCCTGGTGGTACCCATCGCTGCCATGGCCCTGTGCTTCACAAGTGGTAATGGGGGAGCTGCTGTTGTCCCTGGTTCACGGGCAGGGAACTGGGTGCGAAGAGATTAAGGTAAAAGCAACCATAATTTCAGATGGTGGTTTTATGTGCCACGGATGTGGTTTTCAGAAAAGTTAGCATTATTTAAGAGTTAGAAGTGCAGAAGATAATTTTTCTAGTTCTGAAACCGTAACTGCTTAACATTTCCGCAGAGCAGAAGTTCTGATCTTTGGCATCCAAATCCCAAGCCACACATGAGGACAGGCAGGATCACACAATTCATGACTGCCTGGAGAAACTTGATTTAGAAGATTTGCCCTGTGCCACATAGACACGTAACAGCAGAGGAAGAAACACGGTACCCTTCTAGTGCACCCATTTGAGAGTTATTTTTAACAAACTCTTGCTCTTCTTGAAGAGTTATCTTAAGCAAGTTTCTTCCTGAAGAAAATAAATCCCTGTTTATTGTAGCAGATTTATTTCTTAATGAAATACGCTCAGGAACTTTTCTGTATGACATTCAAGTCTGTCTTTGTGCTTCAGTAAGATAATGAATGTTTTCAGAAAACAGGGTATGGGTAGTTACACTGGAGAAAGGAAACCACTTTACTCAGTGAATTTTCACAGAACAAATCAGAGTAACTCGCAGAGAATCCACGCTTTCCCATCAGAGCAAGAGTAAAGGATGGGTGACTGGGTTACTGCTCTTGGTGGTAAATACAACTACAGCTGCGTACAGCTATTTAATGTCAAGTAGGTGAGACTCTCTGGAGTGAAGTAATTTATTCTCCTTATGAGAATGGAGACTGAAAACTAAACCAAGCCTGTGTAGATTCCTCACATGTCATCCGAGCTCCTAACTGACTGCCACTGTCTGGTGGGACCCAGCAATCACCGATGGATGGACTGCAGCAGCACCAGGGGTTCATTTGCAGAGTGCAGCACAGGCTGCACTCGGGGAGCGGGTCACCTCTTCCCTCTGCTCACACAAGGAATTAAACTCTCACTGGCTGCAGATCTGCTGTACGGGCACTGCATCGCACGGGACCTGCAGTCACCTCCACAGGAGCTGCTTGGGGGCCTTCAAACGACAATCACCGACACCAGCGTTTGCTCCAGAGCAGATGCTGCATGGATAAAAACACTGTGCGGGTGTTCGGCTGCCCCGCGCTGCAGAAGGACGGGGGCTTGGCAGTGGAGTGTTGGTGGGGGGCGACCAGCAAACACGGCGGCGTTGCCCCTGTGTCCTTGCTGCTGGAGGCACACGCAGCCTGCACTCAAACCTTGTTCTCCATATACACGTGCCCTGAAATGAAATACGAAACAGTGCAACAATTCCAGCTCCCGAAATAAAAATTAAGTTGCGGCTGAACTGTTAGAAAAGCACCTCCAGAGATGAGGAAGAGGAGGAGGAAAGAAATCACTGAGAGGTAATTTTGCTTAGATGGTGGCCTTGGGGATTGGAAGAGTTTCATCGTGTGGCTTCTCCACTTCATATTTAGCTATCGAGTAGTATGGCAGTCTACTAAAGATGCAGTTGGGGTGGATTTATGCACAAAGAAGAGACCAGAGCGGTGACCATCTTACTCCTTGGTGTAGCTGGCATCCCACAGCACAGCGCAGGTACAGCTGAGCACACCGTTGGCTGCTACAGTCTCATCCCACACTGAGCGCTCTGCCGGTGGTACTTGTCTGCACGCAGCCTCTGAGTGCAGCTCGCAGGGTTTCGGCTGTGTTACCGGCAGGATGGTAATTCCACTGCTGCGGGGGAAGAGGACCAGGAGATGTGGCTGTGATAGTGCACAGACCTTCCCCACTTCAAAGCAAAAATGCTGCTCCCCCTCAGAGGGGACTGCAAGTCCATTAGGGCAGTAGAAACTCCGTTTGAAGAACAGAGTTTGTCAAATTTCCGCAACTCCTTGGCAGCGGGAGAAGATTCTTGTGCAAGACAGATGATATCTTCTGAAATATGTTCTTACTTTTTCTTGCCAAGAAATCTTACCCTCTTCTCATTCTGATGACAGGGAAAAAAAAAATCCTCCCTGTACTGAATGCATTTCAGGGAAGTCATTCCTTGCTGTGCTTTTGAAATTAATGGCTAAGCTGAATTCTTACGTCTTTAATCGGTTTCTTCCCTTCGTACCTGCTGGTGTCACCACAGCCTTCAGGTGTAAGGACCTGGGCAGCCTTGTGCTGGTGGACATCGCGTTGTTTGTCTGACCGCAGCCCCGTGGCTTTTCTTTGTCTTCTTTTTTTCACAGGTGAACCCAAGTCTGCCTCCTTCAGCCCGTTGTGTGCTGGCACTGGACCCTGCCGCCGCAGATGTGGTTTTTGTGGTCCTGGTGCTCCGATGGCCGCTGTTTTCGGCAGGCTGAGATGATAGACTGCCAGGGTTTTACATTTCTTCTTGGGGAGTATTTTCACATTATGCATACGATAACCAGAAACCTTCATTATCCTGCCAAGTTCTTGGAATATACTCTGCTTTCTATTGAACTCAGCGTCTTTGACAGTCGTTAGTGGAAATGTTAAGGTTTTCTGTCTTACAAGCTTTCAAATCCAAGAGTAGCAAAGTAAAGAGGAATTAATTTCTCCTTTGTTTATGTGGCGCTCAAGCTGCTGCCTTGTTCTGGAGAATTTTGGCTTTGCTACAAGAACACAAAAAACCTCTCAATTTTTAGGATTGAACACTTACTTTCACGTGGTCACAGTTGGGTTAGCTCAGCGATCGCTGTCTCTAAATAAGACAGACAGGAGAACAGAGGTGCTCAGGTAACCTCAGCCCAGCCAGAAGTTACTGGCCCAGCACTGCTCCGCGTGTAGCAGCTGTGGCCGTTTCATGGGGCGTTCAGCTGAGCGGTCACCGTGGGCTCGCCATCGCCGCCAGCCTGGGCCAAGCTGCCTTTCCCTCCCAACTCGCCAGGCTCAGCCTGTGCAGGCTCTGGGCTGGTGAAACTGGGCTGGTACTGGTATTGCTGCCTTTGGGCTAACTGGCATCGTGACACCGTACTGGTGTGACAGTGTCTGAGGCAGTGACTGTGCTGGGAAATCGGGCTGGGCCCAAGGCACTGCCTGGGCTCCAGGCAGAGGAAGCCCCAGGACGCTGGTCCAGGCTGGTGTAGGGGCTGCGCTGCCTGCGCCGGGTCCCAGGGCCTGCAATGCATTGTCACGCTCCTGGCTTTGGTTGGGTATTGCAGAGGAATTGAGTGCACTTCCCATTAAAACAATTACTGCATTTTAAGCTCTTTTTTGTAGTGTGTGTGAAATTTCTGGTTATTAAAGCTCTGCGCTGGGGACCTGCGCCTGGTGCCCGTTGTTGTGTAATTGAGCTTTTTTCCAAGGAGTCGATCTGCTTTGGAACAGCGCTGTTGAACTTTGTTGTCTGGGGTTATCTCCTAAAGTCTGTTACGAGGTCATTTCCAGCTTGCAGTTTTTTGTTTATTTTATTGGACCATTTTTTTCCCCTTAAGCTGTTAGTGCTGATTTGGACTCCAGTTTTCAGCAGCACAGAGGAACCCTCCCTCCAACTCTTTTATTTGGTTATCATTTGTTGCCTTTTTCGGCCACCTGAACTCCCATTGAAGAGCTTTGTAGCTGGGTTGGGAAATCTGTAGAATCAAGGGAATCAAGTGTGGACTATTCCCACCTGCACAACTGGGTGCGCTTGGAAATTGCTGTGCCCCAGCTCTGTGTTGAGTTGCACGGTCGCAGGGGGGGTTCACGGTGGTAGACGCTGAGTAAAGCAGCACAGCCCACTCACGGGATTTCTAGAACATCTGGAAATCGTTCAGAAATTTCTCTCATCAGAGCAAAAGGATTTGGTGGGGGTGGAAGGGACCAATCTTTTTCCTTAATACTGCACTGTCTGGAGTCAGCTCCTTTCCTAGCGAATGCTGAGGAACCTGAACAGCCCTGTGAGTGCCGAAATAACAGTGGCAGGGCCAAGAGGCTTCTCGGGCCTTCTGTGGACCTCTTTAGGAGAAAAGGTGCTGGTTGTGGTGACGGGGAATTGTTTGGGATTTAGCGGGCTGGTGTTTAAAGGGAGAGGTGATACTGGAATTGGACTGGTACCAGTGGAAAAACACCAGTCTTCCCAGACACACCAACTTTAAAGAAGTCTGCAGTATTTGAGGTGGTTCATGGCTGGTTTGGCTGGCTGTTTTGCGAGAAACTTCACATCTTGGACCTCAATGACCGGGTGCAGAGTTTGGGTGTGAGTTGGAAGCGTGGCCGCAGCAGTAACGTGCGGAGGTGTCACCAGTCAGGGCTGTTGTTGCTGTCCTTCGGCACTGAGGCGCTGGCCTCTGCAGGACTCTGCACCCTGAAGTGGGAGAAACATTTCCCTGGTTAACGAAGGCCTTTTCCTTTGCGACAGAATATCCTGAAGGAACATGCTGATGACGACCAAAACCTTGCCATTTCGGGTGTCCCTGTGGTCAGCTGGCCCAAGAAGACCACAAAGGTAATGAGACACAATTACTTACTAATCACAGTTACTCACTAACAACTCCAGTGCCAGGTTTTGGTGTTTATTTATATACAATCTGACAAAGTGCTGTATATGGACTTTGACAGCTGCTGGCATTTTTAACATGAAATGTTATTTTTGATGGTTTCATGGTTAGGTGCTGAATCAGAACACGGAAGTGCCTCGGCAGGGAGAAATCGTTAGAGTTTCTGTTTAAAAAGAACTTGTTTGGGCCTTATCAGTATAAAACTGCGATCTGTCTTGGTCATTTACCAGTCATGGCCAAATCTAAAGATACTGATGCACCATTTTGTGTAAGATGAAGTGTTGTGTGAATGCTACAAACTCACTGTGTGGTAAGTGCTCTCATCGGGGCGAGAGGGTGGTTTGGTCTCTGACGCTGAGGATGGTTTGGTCTCTGACACTGAGACCTCCTGAGTTCTCTGTACAAGCGCCACTGCCACTTGGGAGGGTTGTTTTTTGTCCTTCTTGTCATCTTTCCTCTTCCACATGGCAGTCATTCTCTTCCCTTTGCAGCAGAACCGTGAGGCTTGCTTCATTAGCGCTTATAAAGACTTAGAAATCATTGACTGAAGAATAATGTCAAAAGGCTGATGTTATTTATAACAGTGGCATGTTTACCACACTCCAGTTATTCAGCGTGCTGCAAAAGCTGCTTTGCTTGTTTAGAAGATGTCTCATCGCTTCTATTTTTACTTTCATTTTTCACTGAATTACTTCTATAATACATCATTTCTTTAGAAATGCTGAAAGGGTCAGTCAGCTTAAATCAGGCTTCTGTCTGAAAATCTGTTGTCGTTATCGTTGTAAATAACTTTCAAATAATGGAGTGGATTCTTTTCCCTGGTCTCACGTTTTGTGCTGGTGTTCTTGCCATATAACTGCTGGTAGCCACCAGAATTTGCTGCTTTGAAATGGGAAGTAGAGAGCATAAACATCAAACGGCCAGGGGAGAGCGAGCATATCGTGTTCCTCCTTGGCTGCTTCTTGGGCTTTAGCTGAGCGTGTTGCAGATCGGGTGTATCTTGTTTAATACATATTTCGCTTTTAGATTGCAGTAGATCCATGGGAATGTGCTTTGTGTTTAAAACAGTTATTTGTTTAAGAAACAACCAGTGGAAGACCCTGAGAGGAACAGGAGTGGGATTCTCCACTGCTGCTTTGGTAGCTGCTGGTCAGTCATTTGGACAGTCAGGTACCTTCCAGCACTGAGTAACGTGAAATCGCTGTGACCAGAGGAGAACCGGTGTGAAACATATGAAATAAAACCAGGAAACAGGGGCTGAGGCTGTGCCTCTTGAGGTGGTGGTACAAGGGAGGATCTTCGTGTTCTGAGGCTGTGAAAAGCTTTGGGCTTTGGTGCTGATGTTCTTGTTGGAGTCCTTGGGAAATGGCTCATTTCTTCTGTTTTATTTCTGTGCATTGGCAACATAACTGGAACTGTACTGGATCTGTATTTTTTGTGACTTAAATCTCATCTCTCTTTGCAAAACCCCTTGCTGGCTGTAAGGCATTTTTTTCACTTTCTGGTGCTTATTTTCCTTTAGCCTTTCTGAAAGCAAAACCTTTTCGAAGGCATCGCGCCCAGTGCTGAGGTGCAATAACAAACAAACACATCGACTAATAACAAATACCAGGAAAACTTGCACAGAAAGTCAGGCTTGAGGTTGAAGCTTGGAAATAAACAGAAACATAGACCAGAACAAATCCTTTCACCGTTCTCTTCGTATTCGCTTTGCTTAGTCTGTGGTCAGTTCGTACTGTATCTTGTGTTCGAGTTACGAGGTACCCATGTAGATACGGCTGAATGTTTCCCAAATTGAGTTTGTGATTGCACTTCTAATTATCAAATGCCCTTGAATTTTATATGTCACAGCTCCATCCTGTGTCTGGGGACAGCCCAGGGAGCCACGTCTTGGGGCTGAGCCTTGGAGACCCAAAGTAAGATGTGGAGAGACGATGTGGGGGAGATTGGTGTAAAGGCAGTGTTGGTGGTTAAGCCTGGCTATTTCTGACAGCTACCGTGGGGCTGTAAGGAGCTGGTGTATTTTTACATACCCAAGGCCATAAGAAAAAAAAGGAACTGAAATCCAGAAAGAGGAGGCAATGCATGGCAAAGGTGGCTCTTGCTTTCTGCCGAGAGAAGGCTCCAGAAGAGATTTAGAAAGATAAGAGCAGCAGATGGAGAAGGAAGAGTAAAGCCAGCACTAAATGCCAAAACATTTCAAAGGAAATGGAAATGACTGTAAAGAAAGGAGGGGAAGAGACCAGGAACAGTGAGAGCAGGATGAGGAGAGGCGAGCGCTGAGGGGATGGAGCAGGGAAAGCGTGGAGCAGAGAGAGCTCGTAGTAAAGTGAGAACCCCTGGAGTAGGGACAGGGAATGACTTGGACTGTGCGAGTAACCCAGGCTGTGGAGGGGCAGGCTCGGTTGCCTTGAATTGCTTTTCAAGGAACATGCCTGCAATAATCTGAATGGTTTTCAAAGCAGCAAATAATGTTTCCCTTTAAAACTGACTCCCAGTTTTTTTGGTGTTGTGTGACGTGCCAGCGGCCGGCACCGTTCTGTGCTGCAAAACAGTGGCTTGAGGACTCGGCAGTTCTGGGGTTTAGGGAAGAAACATGTTCTTAAATCATCTGGAACTGCAGTTCCAGTGGACACGGTGTAATGGGCCGGACGTTTCACTGAGGACGTGGCAGGCCCAGCCATACGTTGTGGCCCATTGCGCTGCATCGCTCACAGCTACCTTTTCTAAGGGCATTTGGGGCTATCAGTTCTGCTGCAGCTTGCTCTAAACCAAAATTACTCACTGAGAAACAGCAGTAATGATCAGAAATGGTTTTGTGAGGAGATCCAGTAAACGGGTGTGTGATGCCGTGGTGGTTTGGGTTCCCAGCTCTGCTGCAGCTCCTCGTGTTGTGGGAGGTGAGCGGCACATTTCTGCTTTCCCCATCCTGGGAGGCTGTGAGGTGAAATTGATGTTTATAGAGATCTGAGACATCCTCAGCAGGGAGTTTCATAGTAAAATGTGTGAACCATTATTATTTTATGGTAAGGGTGAAAAGTTGTGTGATTCATTGACACCTCTTCCAGATCATATTTCCTCATCTTTATGGAGCTTTTTTGAGTCTTTTGTCCTTTTTCTGATGCATTGATAGTTACTTAGTGTAATAATTACACTCCAGTAGGAACCTTTTTTGTTCCCTTTGCAAATATTCTTTGGATCATTTACCAGAAAGTTGGGCTTGGCCAGGAGCCCTGGGATACGTAGAGCGATGTCGTGGGGGTTGTGTGACAGGGAGGTGTCCTTGTAGTAGTTTCATTTACAATCCAGTGCGGTGCCGAGTGTTGTCAGGGGGTTTTGCAGTGATCGTCTGCCATCAGAAAGGTAAACCCCGTAGGGCACGCTGCCTCGGGAGTTTGGGTCCTAAACTGCCCAAAGAGGAGAAGTAGTCGCAAAAAACAAACTCCTGCCCCATCCCCAGACGTGGACCTCTGGGAGGTTTGGGTAAAGCAGGGCCTGCGCCTGACTCTCCACAGCACCACACATCACTGGTGGTGGGGCAGGAAGCTGGTGGCCACCAAGGCCGATCTCGGAGCCACTCTCACCATTGCTGAGCTCCCGTTTTTCCTGCACGGGGATGAGGGGTAGCGTTTTATTTCAGGAGCTCAGAGCATGGCCCAGGCACAGACCCATGCGTTTTTCAAACCTTTTCCTATTTCTGGAGGACAGCAGTCAGCTCTGGCAGCATCTAATCACGCTGTGTGGCAGTGCCTGCTGCTCTTCTTGTGAGCAGGATCTCCAGTTGTCCACGAGGAGCAGCCATAGAGAGCTGAAATGTGTTTGGACTCTTGTTCTGGGAAGAGTGGGAAATGCAGAGCGTCAGCCAGGTTCTCAGCTCTCACCTGGCACGGAGCGAAAGCCACTGCATTTGCAATGATACCAAATGTCCAAATACATGCATACATATATATATATACACACACACATATATATAGGCCTGGCTGTGAGCAGGAGATGAAGCTGTGATTCTCAGCGCTGTTTCACAGTGCTGCGGTACGCAGCTGCTTTTCTGATGCCTGCTCATATGCTTTTTCCATGTAATTTTTACCTGTTGATTTTAAGAGAAGGTACTTGAAAAGTACAATAAGGAAATAGTAATATCCTTATTTAAAGGAGTACTGTTAATTAGTTGAGGCTACAAACTGAAATTTTAATTGGATTTTTTTTTTTTAAAGCAGCCTGCCCTGCAATTGGCAATGCAAATAATGTTCACTGCTGTGTATCAGTGCATGAGAACCAGGAAGAAGAAGTGATCATAGAGGAAGACGTCTCTCAAGCTGTGTTTTTGCTGCTGATTTTTGGGTTGAGGAGCAGTGGTGGGTGGGCACAGGGCTGAAAGGGACCTTGTGGGGTTTTGTCTCTCCTGTTGCTGTGGGCAGCATCTGCTGCCAACCGTTAATGAGTTCTGTTTTACAGTGGTTTATTTTTTACAAAATTATTTTTACTAGAAATCTTTGCAAAATTCCACAGATACATCCACATATCTGAGATAAAATACCCAAAACAGACAGTGCTGGTAGCACGGTGTCCCGGTTCTGACGGTCACCACTGTTCAAAACATACACGGATCTGGCCTTTGCCTCTGCCCCGTTGAGCTCTGAGAACGTATCGGACGTGTCAGACGTATCAAATCGTGTTTCCTCTGTGACTTTACCTGACAACCTGTGGAGCCTGTGGATCTGTTTGATCTCCGCAGCATCCTGTGGCAGTGTCCCCTGCAGTTCAGCAAAGCTCCGTGTGGATAAGTACTTCCTCGTGCTGCTTCAGATCCATCCCTTAATATCGTAAATACCCTTAATATCACAAATACCCTTCATGCCCTCTGTGTCCTGCCTTTGGAGAAATGTGAATGAGGTCTCTGTTCACCTTCTCTGTGCTCACTCCTAAGTACCCTCATTTCTGGTACAAA